TGAAGACATACTTCTCAGATAAACAAATACAGATGGTAAACAATAATATGAAAAAATGTTCAACATCATTGGTCATTCAAGAAATGCAAATTAAAACAACACTGAGATTCCATCTCACCCCAGAAAAAATGGCTGTCATCAAGAAATCAACCAATAACAAATACTGGCAGGGCTGTGGGGAAAACAGAATCCTTCACTGCTGGTGGGAGTATAGACTGGTCAGACACCACTGTGGAAATCAGTGTGGAGATTTCCCACAAAACTAGGATTAGAGGTCCCACTTACCCCAGCTATTCCCCTTCTGAGTATTTTCCCAGAAGAGTTAAAAACGTCGCACCACAATGATATATGTACACCCATGCTTATAGCAGTACAGTTTGTCATAGGTAAATCTTGGAAGCAACCCAGATGCCCATCAGCTAAGTAATAGATAAAAAAGATGTGGTATTTTTATACCATGAAGTATTACTCAGCCATAAAAAAGTAAAATCAAGGCTTTTATAGGTAAATGGATGCACCTACAGACAATAGTCAGAAGTGAAATATATGAGACCTGTATGTGTAATCATCATATTGTCTCCCTTTTGTAAGAGCCTGAAAGAGTAAATAAAACCCAAAATGTATGATAGTTATTATGATGGGGAAAGAAATTGCACAAAGGAAAGAACAACTGGGATGAGGGAAGGAGAAAAAGAAAGAAGGGAAAATCTATCTATCTGTCTATATGTATGTTTGCATATAGAAGGATAGCTGGTATAATTGTACTGCGGATGTCTGGTGGTTTATTGAAAGGAATAGTTAATGCTTAAATTTTTTTGACCAATTTTGAATACTTGTATCTGGTGATCTGAACAACTAATTTGAGGACGGCAATATACATTGTAACAGCCATTGGTGAATTTGTACCACCTTGTTGGTGAAGCTCTGTATTTCTAATTTTTTTGTTATCATTTTTTATTCTCTTTAATGCTTTGATCAATCTTGCATTCTTACATCTTGTAATCTGAGCAGCTTCATTGAAGATAACAATATGTAGCAACCACTGTTAATTCCTATCATTTTGTTTTAAAACTCTTTATCATTTTTATTTTTTGCTTTGTTTTGTTTTGTTTTGTTTTATTCTTTATAATAAAAAAGACAATCAATTAAGTAAAAGAGGAAAGAATTTTTAACTTTGGGTAATTGAGGATGACATAAAAGATCATTTTAACTGTGCTTGAATAAAATTTTGCTAGCTATAGGTAGGAGAGTGTCCTTGATCAGAATAAGCTGGAATATAGACAAGAGATGATCTTCTGGGAAATATAAGTTGGCCAGTTTTAGTTAACAAAGAGATTACGTTTTAGAGTAATGGCAAAAGAAGTGGAAAGTTTAAGTAGGGGCAAAATTGTAAAGAATCATCTACCATCTTAAGAAGTTGGTAGATTTTGGAGTTAAGAGTCCAGTAGGTGATAATTTAAAGAGAATATGCAGGTATGGAAGACAATGTAGTTTAGGGAGGAGTCTTGTTGCTGAAACATCAGTGCCAAAACTATTCCACTTACATTGCAGAAGATATGTATTAGGACCTGAGTATGGTAATGGCAATCCTATGAAATGGATGGGGCAGATAGACTATGTACTAAAAGTTGATTATTGTGGCCAGATATAATGAGCTAATTCCTCACCTTTCAGGAAATCTTTCCCACATGTATTGCAGTTATTTTGGAATAATAGCAAAGGGAGAATATTTTATAAGTTCTTTTTATTAGAACCCTACTATATTTTTATAAGAATATTTGTTGTTATTATTATGAATCTAAATTGCTTTATGTACTAATTTATGTGAAGGGGATAAAAAAAGTATTCCTTTCAGAATATTATGATAAATATCCAGAATTCAGTGGTTTAAAAGAGCCAGATTTTTACTTGAGATTTGGAAAAGCCACTCATTTATAAATAATATATGTCAGTAGTGTTAATAAAGGAAAATAAAATCAAATTAAGTTGGTGAAAGTATACCTGTACACTTGGAACCAATGAGGAAAGATGATAGAATTTTTGTTTTGGAAACAAAGTGCATGAACAACATGAGAGCTATAATTAATACTGCTTTTCCTTTGTTCTCTTAATTTCAGTCCTTGAGTTATGCTGTGCTTCATCTGAATTAAAAGAAATAAGTTGCACTTTCTTGAGTGGGAAGGGAGAAAAAAATTAAAGCAGAAGAACTACTTATAATGAGTAAAAATAAGATACCTCAGAATTGTTATGACAGCATTAAAAATGATTTGTTATTTGTTATGTTACTTTAAAGAGCACAGGTAGTTGTGATATTTTTCTACCACATACCATCAAATAGTAGAAATGTCCAGTTGGAATTCAGCATGAAGGATTTCACTCTGGCAGGTGACCTGTGCTAGAAACAGGTTAATAACTGCATTTTTGTTGCAGCATTTTTATTCATTTCATCTAATAATTTAGTTCTTTATAATTGCAGTACTCCCCTTTATCTGTGAGGTATACATTCCAAGATCCCCAGTGGATGCCTGAAGCCCAGGAACTCAAAGGGACGACACTATGTACAAAATCCTATATATACTGTATTTTTTCCTTTAAAGTATACATTCAGCACCTTTTCTGTCTTCACTAAAAACACTTACTATGCCCTGTGACTTTAACTTCTGCACATTGGAGGCACAGTCGCAAAACTGGAATGAATTCATTTTCCTTCTAATTTCATGCATAGAAAATTTGTTCTAACCATAGATCTTAGAAACCTCAGTTTATAATTGTTTTCTTTCCTTGGTAAATCTAAAATTTTTACCTTTTTGCTTAATTACTTTACAGCTTCTCTTTGGCATATCTGAACTGCCAGCATCACTAATCTTTCCTTTGGGGCCACTATTAAGTAAAATAAGGGTTCCCTGAGCACAAACATATTCCAAGTTGATCTGATAATCAAGAGGGCTTGTAAGTGGGAAGGTAGTGTATATAGAATGGATACACAATGTGAAGGTACAATTCGTGTCATGAGCAGAATGGAATGGGATGGCTGGAGATTTCATTACACTACTCTAAATGTTGTCAATTCAAAACTTATACACTGTTCATTTCTAGATTTTCCTATTTAATCTTTTCTGACCACAGTTGGCCTCAGGTAATTCAATCCCTGGTATGCAAAACTGGATAAGGAGTACAACTATTTTTAGCTGCTGTGTTTTTTGTTAGTTAAAAAAAAAAAGTACCTGTGGTAGGCTGATTTATACAGAAAAGAGGTTTATTTAGTTTTCAGTTCAGAGGTTGAAATTCCAAGATCCACTGGTGGGTGAGATGGTGGGTTAAGCCTTTGTATTAGCCTCTGGTGAAGGTCCAGGGGCTGATGAAGGCACATACAAAAGGAAGAGACATCATAAAACAGGAAGCTGATAGACACTGTGTCCCACAGTCCATTCCAAGGCACGTGAATGATTCACCTAAAGAACTACCGCTGGGCCTTACCTCTTTAACAGTTCTGCATGTTTCCCAATACCACCACCTTGCGACTGAGCTTCCAACACATAAACCCTTGGGGGGACAAACCATATCTAAGCCATAGCAGATGCCTTTGGAATCTTGGACTGGGGAGGGATGAAGACTTTCTGGAAGTGTTTCCGTAAGTACTCTAGTCATTTGTATTTATAAAGAAGGGGCTCTGGGATCAATTAAATCAGGGAATCGCTGGGTTAAACACAATTAAACAGGAGTTTTATTATAATGGCAGAGTGGTGGGGGAAGACATTTCTGAAACTAATATGCTAATTTGCATGGTCCAAGGAATAAAAAACCATGGCATTTCACCAACTAACTTGATCACGAAATGGTGTTTTCATGGAGACTTTTTCAGATCTACTGTTACTCAGAATTCATACTGCTTGACAAGAAAAGCTAGATATTTATAAATCTCTCCTTAAAAACTTCCATTACAATGGGAAGAGATAGTTAAAAAGATAAACAGAAGAGAAATTAAATGGTTCATTAAAAGCTATATATGAGCTGCTTATTGAAAGAACTAGGCCTGAACTAAGATCTGCCACGTTGTGATTCCTTCCTTTTCACCCCAAAAGGTCAAAAAATCTGTATAAACTGCATGCTAGTCACAAGGGAGTTTGAAGAAGTAAATCAATGATTTAATTATTCTTAGGATTTTCAATCAGCACATTCACTTTGAGGAACAAAATAGGATTGAAAAAGCCAGTAAACATTTGTAATTGAAGTTACAGTTTTGTAATTGGGGATTTTTTTCAAACAGTAAATCATCTTTCAAATTATAAAAATCAATTTTCTTTCACATCATGCAAAAGGTACACTATATAGAAAAGTTCCTCACCTTTCCAGAAGGTCTTGAGAAAATCAACCTATGATTTCATGTCTCATTCCAGACACTGTGTCTTTGGAAGCAGACATGAATGTTTTTAAAACTTCACATAGATGGCACTGTGGTAGACACCTTATTTTTTAATCTTAATTTCTTATAGTACTTAGCAGTACTATATGTTTGTCTTCTCATATCAACGCATATAGATCTGAAAGAACCTAAATAACTTAATAATGTTGTATGGATAATTTATATAATCCGGGAGATTAAATGGGCATTGTTTTACCAAACAAAGCTGTGGTATGTTTTTTTTGAACCTTTGTGTGAATTTATCTATAATAGAATTGTTGAAGTAGAATTGTTGGGTCAGAGAATATGCACATTTAAATTTTTTGCAGAAAAAGTGTTTTCTCTTTAAAATAAAAGAAAGTGTTTTAAATGTTGCCAAATTGCCTTTGAAAAATAGTACTAATATATTCTCCCTCTGCCATCATTATAATTGAAAGATTAAAATGATACGAATTTCACAGAACTTAAAAAAAGACTATACTTTTGTAATGGGTAATAAAATATCTTGCTTTGTTAATCCTAAAATTATAAAGATAATTTATAAAGCATTGATAATCATGATCTCTTTCTCTCCTCATCCCTCCCCAACTCTTTATAGAGCAAACTATTCATGGAAGGATTTAGAAGCCTGAAAGAAGGAGAACCAGTGGAATTCACATTTAAAAAATCTTCCAAAGGCCTTGAATCGATACGGGTAACAGGACCTGGTGGGACCCCCTGTTTAGGAAGTGAAAGAAGACCCAAAGGGAAGACACTACAAAAAAGAAAACCAAAGGGAGATAGGTAATCATTTTACTTGGATCAATCTATCTATCTGTTTGTCTATCAGTCAATCAATCAATATATGCCCTGGAGAGTGAACGTCAGGGGTGTTTTGCCACTGAGCTAAATCCCCATCCCTTTTAATTTTGAGACAGGGTTTCACAGATTTACCCAGTCTGGCCACAAACTTGCAGTCCTCCTTCCTCAGTTCCCAGAGTAGCTGGGATTACAGACGTGTACACCACAGGGCCTGGCTCATTTAGGCGTTTATTGTATTTGGAAAAGATTTCTGAAAATGTCTTTATATAAATTTCCACTGTATGAATATACCAAAATTTAACTTAAATCAACAGTGCTGTTTTAATTAGTATTTAGACTATTTTCAGTATTTTAAATTTAATAGTAACACTTTTGTGTGAATTCTTACATGTACATTTTAAAAAAGTCATCTTACTGCATTCTGAGGATAAATACTTACTAGTGAATATATTCTATTAAAAAAATAAGCACTTTAAATTTTTGGTGCCTATTTCCATACTGCTGTCCAAAACAATTAGGGCAAAAATACAATCCTTAAAACTGAAATAGCTCATTGTATGCTGTCAATTACTTAATTTTTTCTAATTATATAACTTAAGAGATAAAGCTCATTGTTTTCCTTTGTATCCTTTGATTACATTAGAGGTTGAATATATTTTTATATATTAGTTCCATTTTCATTTATTTGTTGTTGATTTGTATATTTAGAATAGGAAACTTTGGTCTCAACAAATTAGAGTATTTTAGTTTGTGAAATATTTTAGTTTAAATGATAGTAGCTTTTAAAAAGTTTTGAGTTTTTTTTTTTTTTTTTTTTTTGGTTTTTCTCCGGTACCAGGAACCGAACTCACAACCTTGTGCTTGCCAGGCAGGCGCTTTGCCGCTGAGCTAAATCCCCAGCCCAAAGTTTTGAGTTTTTATAGAAACAAGTGTTTTATTCTCTGCATAATAGAATGTGACTTTGCTTTCTGGCTTTTCAAATTATGAAGCTACAAATACACTATAAGAAGCCACAGGTGCTGCTCAGTTGTAGAGCAGGTACTGGTACTTAGCATATGTGAGACCTGGGTTCAGCCCCAAAATATAGACTAAAACATAAAATTTGTTAATCTATCTTTTTAATTATGGCTTCCCATTGTAATGGAATTTTTAAAGTGGATTATAAATATTTAGCTTTTTTTTTCAAAATGCTAGCTTGCTATTATTACAGCATTTATTGCCTTGTCCCTATCTTTCCCACTGATTTGAAAGCTATCAAGTGAGAAAACAAACTCTGTTTCCATGTATATTTTTAGGAGCTCATTTTGTACAAAAGAAAGTCTATGAACATCTGTGAAAGTTTAACGTTGTACTTGCCTGTTAAAAGTTTTATACTCCCAGAGAGAGATATAATAGTAATAATACATACATACATATATACATACAAGTAAAGTAACACAAAATAAAGCACTCCTTTATTTTTCTGTGTTTTTAGATTAAATGTTTAGCAGTATAATCCCAGAATGTTTTATATGTTTTCTAGTTTGGAATCAGTAGGAAGGAGAATGGTGCAGGCTGAAAGTTGAAGCATAAGGTTGCAGGACATTCCTTTAAATAGGATTTTTGTTAATCTTTGTAAGAACTTTGATTCTGGAGAAAATGGGAAGTTTTGGGAAACTTTTAGGTTAAACATCTAATTTACGTGTCATCTTAATAGTTGCGATTATAACATAATTTGAAGAGGCAGCTTTGGAAGCCGAGAAATCACTAAGGAGGCATTTTCAATGCTATGGGAAAAGACATGGTGGTGGTTTGGACTGGGGTGTAGCTGTAGAAGTGGTGAGCGAAAATTCCAATATGTTTTGAAGGTGGAGACGGCAGGATTTACTGATGGATCAGAAGTGGACTGTGAGAGAAGAAGAGTCCAGGATGACTCCAAGGTTTGTTTGCCCTGGGCAACAGGAAAGATGGAGGGACTGCTTACCAAGATGGGGAAGGCGACAGAATGAACAATAAATAAAAAGAATGGTTTTTTACATATTTACTTAGAGATACATACTGAACATCCAAGTAGAGATATTGATTAGGCAGATGGATGCATGATATGCGTGATTCTAGAGCTGAATATAAAAATTCAGCAATTATCAGAGAATAGATGATATCTGTAGCCACAATACTAAATGAGATCACCATCAAAGCAAGTAAACATAGCACAAAAAAGATGACTGAACTCTGGTACCTTCTAGTGTTGTGGAGGAAGAATAGCCAAAGCCCCTAAGAGGAGTGGGATCAGAGGGAAATCAAGAAGGGATTTTGTTTTGCAAGGTAAGGAAAGAAAGAAATTCTGGGAGCGGGTATAGGGGTGCTCAGTGGTCCTGGTGGCGAAATGATGTGAAGTAAGATGATCACTGATGAGCCACTTTGCAACACAGAAGTCATTAGTGAAGTTGACAGAAACAGGTTTGGAGGACTGGGGGAGTGAAAGCCCTACATGAATTGTGTTGAACAGAGAATGAAAGGAGAGAAATTAGAGTTGCGCGTGTAGACAGTTTTTTATTTTGCTGTAAATACGAATGAAAAATGAACCAGTAGCTAAGGAAAAGTTATGCCATGTTTATGTGTTGACAGGGCAGGGTCTAGTAGAAAGATTAAGCATGTAAGAGAGGACAGTTGCTGGAGTGAGTGAAAGGACTGAGATTTAAAGCACAACTGGAAGACCTGATTGTAAATATAGATGGTTTATTCTTGAAAGTGAGGCAAGGCACAGAATATGGGCACAGACCCAGGTGAGAAGGTAGATAGGAAGCTGGGATAAGGTGAGATTTGCGATTTTATACTGTTTCCTCAATGAAGTGTGAAGCTGTCAGTCATCTAGTGAGAGCAGTACAAAAGAAGGTTTAAAGATTTAATAAGAAAAGAGAAATGAAACAGGAAAACAGAAGAAATAACACATCATGGAAAGAGGAAAAAATTGTAGGGCATACCAGTGACCCTCTTAAGATTAGTGGGCATGAATTTAAAATATAATCAGTCAATATGGTTGTATGTTTTCTCCAGCCATTGTTGACGTCATGGTCACAGATGTGAAATAAGCACAGCTGTGATAACTATGGATTTATCCCTAGTTGAGAATGGCAGAGGAGAGAAGCAGGATGCTGGAGACGAAGGGAGCAGTTATAATGATGGTAGAGAGGCTATAACTAGGTGCGGAGTCCAGATTCTGAAAAGGTGTTGTATAGGTTGCAGTGAGTTCAAAGAATTCTTGTAACTGGGATACAAGAAGGAGTGATCAGGCAAGACAAAAGGTGCTGGTGGTCAGAGGTGAATAACCGCTCTCACTGCTGACCTTATTGTATATCTAATTGTGTTTCAAGCTTTCACACATTTGGTACCTAATTATTTCTAACTTTCTATTAAGTTTGGAATGTCCATAATCTTTGTCACTAGGATTAGCAACTCTAGTTTTTCATGTGCCACTTTTTACAAGATGATATCAACACAGCCTACCATTAAAATTCAAATAAGCATGGAGACTTAATTAAAAGCTGAAAGAATGAGAAAACAAGATTTGACCATGTGATACCAAAAATGGGTCTTTCTCAGTTGATAGCTGAATAATTACCAAGGTAATGATTTGATCCCTAAAGGTTTAAAACACTTCAAAGATTTTGATAACAGTTCTGCTCTCTTACGTGGAAGATTAACCATGTTTACTTCCTCAAACAGTTTTAGCAATGAGAATAAAGTTATGCTTTAAACTTGAATTCATGTTTATTAGCATAATTATGTAAAGTAGCCTGAAAATCTTACAAAATATTATGAATTCTATAATTATTTCCATTTGCTTTTTTCCCTTATATTTTTTCATGAATGTATATTTTATTGTACTTCAGAGAATCAACTTGGAATAATTTGTTATGCTGTTTTTTTCTAGTAGTGTCTGTGATTATTTTTATTATTTCCTTCATTTTATTTTTACTTTTTATTTTTTTATTATGGATTAAACCCAGACTCTTCACACCAAACTATATCTCCAGCCTTCTTATTTTTTATAAATTTTGAAATAGAGTTTCACTAAGTTGGCCAAGTAGAACTCAAACTTGTGATTCTCCTGCCTGAGGCTCCATTGTGCTAGAATTACAGGCATGAGCCACTGTGACTCACAATTAGGAACATTTTTGTGGAATGTTTTTATGTTTGTTTTTTGGGTTTTTTGTTTTTTGTTTTTTGTTTTTTTGTCTTTTTGAGACAGGGTCTCACTATGGAGTTCCAGCTGGCCTTGAGCTCACTTTATAGCCCAGGCTGGTCTCGAACTCACAATAGTCCTCCTGCCTCAGCCTCCCGAGTGCTGGGATTACTGGCAAGGCACCACCTTGGCCGGCCAAAACTCTCAATCTTGCAGTTGGACTCTTTTTTTTTTTTTTTTTTTTTTTGGTACCAGGAATTGTGGGATGGTTTTTAAGTATGTTACAGATGCGATAGCATTTTATTACCTCTAATCCTTGTAAACGTAAGTGTAACAGCTTTCCCAGTAGCATTGAATATTCTGATCATACTAAAAGTTTCCCATTTGTCAAAAAACTTCTCTTTTTCTACTACATTTTTCAAACCACAATCCACTTAAAGAGTATACCTTTCAGTTAGTTTTATGTCTTAAGTCTCTTATAATCTTGAACAGTACCTCCCTGCAGAACTTATCCTTTTGGTAAATAATTCCATGGCATTAATTTGTGGAAGAGATTAGGCCAGTCTTGAAGAATATACCATAAACTGGATTAATTCCAGTGTCTCTAAATTTGTTTCTCTTACTTCTGCATTGCATATAAATTGAAAAGTATTGTGCTAAAAATATTTGAACTTGAATTTAACAAATTCCTTTCTATCTTTAAATTTATAGTGGATATAAGGGTTAAAAAAATAAGTTAAAAAAAAACTTGGATGAATAGTTTTAAAAAAACTAGGATGAATCCAGATCATAATAGGAGTTTGTCTAATACTTCCATATAATTAGATTAAGGTTATTCATCATTATCAAGAATATTATGGAAGTGATACCATGTTCTTATTGTATCCTGTCAGATGGCATACAATTTTGATCTTTTTCATTACTGATGATGATTCTTTTCTTTTAATGAAGTAGGATAAGCTATTAGTACAAATGAGACAAATTAGCACATATTGCAATATTTTTAAAACACAAAATAGGTAATTTGCAGGAGTATTTGAACTCCCAGCTTCTATGTATCTCTTTTTTGCTGTGTGTGTGTGTGTGTGTGTGCGCACATGTGCATGTGGTTTCTCATATAAGAGGAATGGTGTGATATTTGAGTTTGTGTGTCTGACTTATTTCATTTAACATTACGTGCTCAAATTATGTCCATTATCTTGGAATGCCTCAAGTTTATTTGTTCGGCAATGTAGTTAGTACTCCATTGTGTATAAATATCACATTTTCTTTATCCTTTTATTTGTAGATGGATATACATGCTATTTCCAAGATCTTGCTGTTATAAATTATGCAGCTATAAACATGAGTATGGATGTCTTCCTGTAATATGGTGATTTTAACTCTTTTGGAGAGATAACTAGAAAGAGGATACATGGATCAAATGAAAATTTCTATTTAGTTTTTTGAGGAATCTCCTCACTGATTTCCAGAATAATTGTACTAGTTTATGTTCTGACCAACAATGTAGTACAATTCCTTTTTCCCCACATCCTTGCCAGCATTTCTTGTTAGATTTTTGAATGATGGCCATTCTTTCTGGGGTAGGATGGTATCTCAGTGTAGTTTTAATTTGCATTTCTGTTATGACCAGTGATAATGAACATTTGTCATATATCTATTGGCCTTTTGTACTTTTGGGAGAAGTTTCTCTTCCTTCCATTTACTCATTTTTTCATTTCAGTCTTTTCTTTTGGGGTCTAATTATTTTGAGTTCTTTATATATTCTTGTTGTTTATCCTCTGACTGTGGGATAGCTGGTAAAAGTTTTTTCCCATCCTGTAGATTGTCTCTTCACTCTTGGTTGTTTCCTTTGTTGGGTAGAGCTTTTTAATTTTATGTGATCCCATTTGTTGATTCTCAGTATTATTTCTTGTGCCATCGGAGTTCTGTTGAGAAAGTCCTTGCCTGTGCCTGTTGACTCCGTCAAGTTAACTTTATGTCCTTTTGACAGGTTCTTATAATTTTTTGAATATTTACTTATTAGGATAAGATACTTTTATATTCACTCACATCCTATAAAATGTAATAGTACAGACATACTTTGCTACTGAACTGTTTAGAAACCTGTTGAATTTGGTACTTGATGAGTTTCGATGAGAAAATTTTGAGCTAGTGCTTGTCATTTGTTTGCTACATAAAGCACAAGCTAGAACTTGTCATGTTTATTGCCTTGCGAATGCTTTTTTTTCCTGGTAAAACAGTTTGGTTTTGGTAGTCATTATATTGGTACTTGTATACCTCCTGGAACCAATTACACTGAATACTAAGATTATCAATGTAATAACAATCAAATAATTGATTTGGTCTGCTGAAATACTGGTAAGCTAGAGTTCTGGTTAGTTTCTATTACATTTCTGTGTGTTTTGTTTGCTTGGAATGTAGTTTTTATTTTAAAAATTGTGATAAAACTGACCTTTTTCTTTTGATGTAGTTTTATTAATTTTGACACATGCATATCTCTGTAGTCACCACCATAAACCATTTAAAACAGTCTGTCACCCTCAAACAAACAAACAAAAACCCTCTTACTATCTTTTATTTCTCTTCTCATCTGTAACTTTTGGTAACCACTAACTTGTCCTTTCTCAGTATAATCTCTTTTTGTGAATGGCATATAGGTGGTTTCATATAGTGTATAACCTTTTTAAGCTGGCTTTTTCACTTGGCATAATGCATTTAAAATTCATTCATACTTCTGAATATTTCAATAGC